GGTGTGCATGTACAGTAAGAACGCTCTTAAGCCTCCCGTGAAAGAAAAACGTGTTTCCCAGATTCACACTTAGCTTAAGAAGATCTTTCACTAAGAAGGAGTTGTAAGATCGAGCTGACCCACTCTTAACAGTCTTCTTAGCAACCAAACGCTCACAGATCTAGCCGCGTCAGGCAAATTAATATTACACTAAGCAAGGAGATATTAAAACAGTGCGCATCGTGTATATTTTGATCTATTTTATACTTCAGATTTATATTGTTTAGCATTAATTGGTGACAGAAAAGAACAATTTTCATTTTGCAGGGAAATGCGCGTCCTTACTGTTCATATTGAATCCATATGTTTTATGAAGACCCTATGTGCGCTCAAAGCTGTGGCACAAGTTAGGCACCGAAATCTGGTGGAAGAAAAATAATAATAAGAAAAATAAGTACTAGGAATAACATATGTGTTCTTGTAGGCTATGTGCTTAGCACATCAGGCACACAAATTAAATGAATCATCATGACCAGGGCTTGACACTAACTTTTTTCCCAAGGAGCACATGTGCTCCTAAGTTGAAAAAGTAAGGAGCGCACAAAGAACTTTAGGGGCACAATGTAAATTGATCAAATAATGTGTTTTCCGTAATAAACGTGATGCAAATAGACATTTACAAGCAAAATTATTTAATGAATTTGTATACAAAATGTACAGAAAGGCAAAATCATCAAGTTTTGAAAAAGTATTGCAATTTAATTTTGTCTTTAATTTTATTATCTTATATATATTATCTTTGCAATATGATTATCTTATATAATGTTATTACTATCCTAAAACATTCTCCAGGTCCTCTGAAACTCTGCAGGACTTATTTCCACCCTGCCCAGCAACGGTACCGTGGAGAACGGTCCCTAACTGTGGGGAGAACGGAGCAGGCTTCCCCGGAGGTCCGCCACTTTTCCCGGTCCCTCGTCTCCGCCACACTTTGACTTATTTCCAGCCTGGCCGTGGAGAACGGTCTCTAACTGCATCAATAAGTGATTAACATAGGGGGGATCAAAATAAAATAAATAAATAAAATAAAAATCAACCAGCCACCTTCCTCCCCTGACAGTCCCTTCATAAGTAACGAACAGTCCCTTAAGTGCAGTGAGATTTGTGGACCGTTACCTGCCACAAACAGAGAAATGTGAACGGCTCGTTTCTCCTCTGACACGCTACATACCTGTGTGCCACCACGGCTCAGTTGTCCAGGTACTACTGGGCAGTCATGACACCAACGAAAGAGGAAATTACTGGACCTGGAGTCGGACTTATCTGTCGCCGGTAAGCCATTATGTTGCGCCGCAGAGCACTATGAGCCTCCGCCGTATTCCTGTCTGTGACCCCCGTTCAACCCACAACCACCAGAATTCGCCTTTCCTTTCTGCTGCTGATTGAAACGTGATAATAGGGGCGCCCCAGCGCCCACTTCACTAACTTGACGTAGAAATGAGCGGTAGTCTAGAAAACTGGCGAGTTTTTTTTTGTTTGTTTTATGCGGGTTTTTTGAAGGGCGCTCGTGCGGCCTCACATATACGAAACGTGGCACACATATCAGAAGACCCAAATTGTGTTGTCTATGTGATTTTTGTGCTTTGATGTGCCGAGATGGCTCAACAGCACCCCCTACAAATTCTCAATGAAGCAGCTCTCGAAGCTGGTTTCATCTGCATGTATGAAACTTGGTAGGCACTTGAAACACTCTAAAATGTACAAAAAAGCCTCTTAGAGCCATGCTCTAAACCCAACAGCACGTCTGCCATTTTCAATTTACTTGTGCCACTTTTGTGTGTTTTTGGCCATTTCCAGGGTTATTCTTTAACGAACTAGTCCTACAGATTCAATCTGACTGACTTCAAAGTTGGTCTGTCCCATTTGAAAGATCTTAAGGATGAAAAGTTATTACAGGCTTGGGTTTTTGTCAATCTGTGTGACTGTGGCAAGGCGTTAAACTTCCATGTGTCGCTATGATATAGGAAGAGGTTTGTAACTCCAGCATACATTGTCCAGTCTTCCCCAAACTTCACAAGATTGATGACAGTCCAGCTCTGAACACATCTATATGACAATATTCAGTATTACACATAGCGCCACCTACTGGCAAGAGGAAGTATGTCTTTTCAGACACTTATTTGATTTACCTGAAATTTACATGCTGTGTCTGTATTTGGTGTATACAAGCATGACGTAGCATTAGTGCCTTCTCCAGCTCCCCCTAGTGGAAAGAGGAAATGTTACAAATTGTGAAACAGGTCATTTCAGCACTATATGAAAGATATGCCAGCTTTCTTCTGCATGCGGTGCATGGGTGCCTGAATTTGAGGAAAATGAACTGCTGTGCAGCCGGCCAGCAACCCTCAGTTGCACAAAGGTGCAACGGCCCATTCATCGCTGCTTGCAGCTTTAATTATTATTCTTAATTTTTGGGGGGGTGTAACATACCCAAAAACTCGTACACCAACATGTACAAAAGTTGGTAGGCACATGTAACACCCCAAGCTGTACAAAAAAGTCTCTTGGAGCCATACCCTAAACCCAACAGGAATTTGGCCATTTTGAATTAAAGGTGTAAATTTTGTGCATTTCTGGCCATTTCCAGGGATCGTACTTAAACCTCCTGCCACATGGAAAGACCTTAAAGATGAAAAGTTGCATTTTCATCAAACAGTGTGACTGTGGCAAGGCTTCAAACATAGGCGTTTTACCATGAAACAGAAAATGGTTTGTAACTCGAGCATACATGGTCCTATCTGTCCCAAACTTCACATGATTGGTGACAGTCCTGCCCTGAACACATCTACATGGTTTGTAACTTGAGCATACATGGTCCAATCTGCCCCAAAATTCAAATGATTGATGACAGTCCTGCCCTGAACACATCTACATGCAAAAAATTAGTGCCCCCTATAACAGTGCCCCCTACTGGCAACAGGAAATGACATGTTTTATACTTTGATGTACATCTCCTACAACGTTCACCAGACCCACCTGAAAGTAGGGATGGGGCCGATCCGATCCACTATCGGTATCGGGTTCCGATACCAACGTAATTCACGGATCGGAAATTTCCAATCCACCTGCGGAAATTTCCGATCCACGAGCTCATAGCGCCACGGCCACACCTTTCTTTGTGGCAGGTAACGGTCCACAAATCTCACTGCACTTTAGGGACTGTTCGTTACTTATGAAGGGACTGTCAGGGGAGGTGGGTGGCTGGTTGATTTTTATTTCATTTATTTATTTTATTTTGATACCCCTATGTTATTCACTCATTGATGCCATTTTTGAAGTATGAATAAGTCAATAAGTAATTTATTCCATTGAAATATCATTGATGTATTATAGAAAAGTGATTTATCTTTTTATAAATGACAAAAGGCACATCTGCCTCATTTTCGCTGTCATAATACTACTCAGAACCATGATACTTTCACTGGTATCGTACCCTGGGTCCCAATTTTGGTACAGTGACAACACTACTACATATGACAGGTACTTTTCATTTCTTGATAGTGTATATTGCACTAGTAGTTTAACACTCTTGGAATTTAATAAATATTGACAATCAATTTGAAACCCTTACAGTTGCATATTTGTTTTCAGGATGGGATTTTTCCTGTGAACAGGATTTCCTGCTTTTCTGACCTTATACTTACCTCAAGTTGCATACATATGTACATATCATACTTGCCTGTAGAGAAGAGTTTATTACAGCTTCATATAAAATTAACAATAATGATAATAATAATATTAAAGCAAACAGAGCTCTGGTATCGGAATAGTATTGGTATCGGCAGATATCCAAATTCAGGTATCGGGATCAGATCGGAAGTGAAAAAAATGTGGATCGGTGCATCCCTATCTGAAAGTTGGCCAAAACAGCCATGAGACCTTGATGATGTTTTATTGTGAAAACTGAGACTTTTTTGAAGCTATGGTGGCGCGACGAATTTCGATGTTTTGACAAGACAACATAAAGTGCTGTAAATTGACACGACATGGTCAGATCTTTGCAAAATATCACACATATAATAACAGTCATGGCCCAAGGACATCTACCAAGGGATTAATCAGACCCACCTCCAATATGCTAATCGAAAGTCCTAAAACCTTGATGATACCTAGAAATTAAAATTTTGAGTTTTCATTTAACGCCATCACTGTGGTGCCGCAGTATTTGCCATGAAACAGGAAGTTGTTTTTGAGGGGCAAGGGATGCTTGAAAACTCACAAAACTTGGCACACTCATCAGAAGTCCTAAAATGTGTTATAACATTTATTAACTGATAATCTGATTTTTTTTCCTTTGATGTGCCAAAAGGACTTGGTAGCACCCCCTAGAAAAGTTGGTTGTAACTCCCGCATACATGGTCCAATCTGCCCCAAACTCCACATGCTTTATAAGGCATGCAAATTAGGTGTCATGGTGATTGCGCCACCTTCTGGCAACAGGAAGTACGTATTTTCAGACAATTAATTTTTTGTTTACATGAAATTTACAAGGTGGGGTCTACAACTGATCTACAACAACATGACTTATAATTAGTGTGTTCGCCAGCCCCCCATAGTTGAAACAGGAAGTTGTCCTAACTGTTAAATACGCCATTCCAGCGCCCACACTATGAAAGATATACCATCTCAATGCTGCATGCAGCGTCTGACTTTTACAGAAACGAATTGCCGCTTCAGCCGGTGTCCTGCCAGCACTTCATGGTTGCAAGAAGGTGCTTGGACCCATTCATTGCTGCTTGCAGCTTTAACTTTATTTGAAATTATTGTAGTTTTTGAGAAATAATTTTATGAGACAAAGGTAAAAAACACTCCTTTATTATCAGGGCTGGGCTATATAAGAAAAAAAGAGGTTAGAATGATGATCTGAGAAGCACTTTTGGAGAAGCATATTGGCACCTTCACTCTATTTTCATAACTTTGACTTTTGTCACACAATGGTATTATATAATATATATTTGTACCTGCTGGATGTGCTCTAGAGCCACAGGGGTTGCCTGAGTGAAGACCTCAATGCGGATGTTATGACCAGGGTCCTCCAGGATCAAACAGCCAATGTCAAACCACCTGGAGACAATAAAAGGATTCTGAAAATGTACAGGTCCTGGCATTCATGTGGATGCCACTTGATGCACCCCATCCACCGGGACACCGCTGCAGACCAAATACACCCCCTCATGGCATCCCACAAATGCCTGATCAGATTGGGATCTGGGAAATTAGGAGGCCAGGTCAACACCTTTAGCTCTCTGTCACATTTCTTGGTACCTGGTCTGCAACGGTGTTTGGGTGGTTTGAGCGCATCAGGTGGCATCCATCTTCATTCAATCAATCAATTTTATTTATAAAGCCCAATATCACAAATCACAATTTGCCTAAATCATGAATGCCAGAATCCAAGGTCTCCCAGCAGAACATTGCTTTGTAACGAGATGATCAATGTTATTCACTTCATCTGCCACACACACACACACACACACACACACACACACACACACAGTTTCAACTCTTAGTGTATATGTATGTGTATATAAAAAGTATCTATCCATCTATCTATCCATCTGTGTGTGTGTGCTGGTGTCAGAGGCACGATGTGATTTAGTCAAGTAGGACATGTTCCTGGATCAACCTCCCATACTGATCCTAGATAAACAATGGCATCAACCAATCACAGCCCTCTGACATCATCAGTGTGCTGCTCCTGTGCTTCTTTCAAAATTCCTTTGTGCTTCTTCAGGGCTAAGTTAAGTTTTAAAAATTGAAGTTAATACAACTGAACAAAACACTTAGTTAAACTTAGCTGAACATAATTAGGGCTGTGTGATATGACGATATATATCGTGTGACGAGAAAAATGTCTATTGTTTCATATTTTGCTCTATCGTTTATATCATTGTGATGCAAATTACACTTTTTACGGCAATATTTTTCCTCATTTGGAGTCTGTCCATCTTTTGCCGGTGGCGGCTCGACGCATGTTGACTAAGGATAGACCGATACATCGGCCGGCCGATATATCGGGCCGATATTTGAGTTTTTTACTTGTATCGGCATCGGCCGATACGCGGGTGGGTTCGCGGATTTATTTTTCCCTGGCATGATTTACAGACAGGCATCCACGGGCAGCTCTGTGTTGCCGGAAGACCCTGCAGCGCACATGCAGCGAATCCTACTGTGTACAGTAGTTGTTGTTTTATTTATGCTTCAGCTTAAATATTTATTTATTTTATAAAGACATTACTGGAAGATTTAAGAGCACTGAACTCTTTTTTTTTATTTGAATGTATAATAATAATAATAATAATATTCTACCTGTTCTACCTCAACTTTCCTTCTTGTTTTAGTATTTTTTACTGTTCAATAAATGTTTCTTATTTTAAACTTGAGACCTGTAATATTTGTTATCATTGTGTCATTTTTTTGATGTAAATTGAGGGAGCAAAAGCAGTATTGGCCCCAAATATCGGCTCAAGAAAATCAGCAGTCCACAATCGGTCATCAGCTAAGGGTGATGGAAAAAAATCGGTATCGGCATCAGCCCTAAAAAATCCATATCGGTCTATCTCTAATGTCGACGTGCTGCACCGCGGCACTTTACGCTATTGTCCTATTTTTCCAGCGTCACCGCCCTTGAAAAAGTGCTATTTTGTATTTCCCAGTCTAGCGGACTGGAGTGTGCAATAGAAATCTGGTTGACGCACGACAGCGCGACGCTTTGTGTGTGTGTTGGGGGCGCCACTTGACTCGCGTCAATGACGCCGCCGTTATATGACGCCGCCGGTGTGTTTTGGCCTTCAGGATGTTATCACACGTCAGTTGAAAGTTTTGTGCTCCACTATCTCGCAGGTTTACTTATATCACAGAAGTGCCTGGATAGTGTGACGTGTGTGGTTGTGCTGCTGCCATGGTCCTGCCTGATGCCTCCTGCTGCTGTTATCATTAGTCATACTTCTACTGTTATTATACACAGATAATTACTGTCACATATGTATACTATCAGATATTAATATATACTTTCAACATATTGTACCACAATAGCCGTAATTATCATTATAACATTATTACTTCAATTAATGTTGTAAGCTACTGTTAGCGTCTGTCCTGCATCTTTCTCTGTCCCCGTCCCTCTTTCTGTCTTATTGTGTCATATGGATTACGACATCTATTACACGTCTGTCCGTCCTGGAAGAGGGATCCCTCCTCAGTTGCTCTTCCTGAGGTTTCTACCATTTTCTTTCCCCTGTTAAAGGTTTTTTTGGGGGGAGTTTTTCCTTATCCGCTGCGAGGGTCCTAAGGACAGAGGGATGTCGTATGCTGTAAAGCCCTGTGAGGCAAATTGTGATTTGTGATATTGGGCTTTATAAATAAAATTGATTGATTGATTGATTGATTGAAAGTTAATGTGTTTAACACACTTTCCCTCTGTTTTTATACCTTATGCAAAAGTTCTTTTTTTTGCAAGACTGTAATGCTAATGTTGATCCTGGACCACCACTGCCCTATTTCATGTTGGCCCAGGGCCATCATCACCATGTTGATCCTGGATAGATTTGTTTTGTTAATACAGGACCATCATTGCCATTGACTCTGAATCATTTGTTTATGTTGACAGAGGATGACAACATGGCAGTGATGGTCCTGGATCAATGTAAGCTCTCCTAGCCAAGATCAACATGACAATGATGGTCCAGGATCAACATATACAAATAATCCCAGGTTAACATAGTGATGATGGTCCTGGATCAATTTACACAGATTATCCAAGACCATCATCACTATGTTAACCTGGGATTATGGTCCTGGATCAATTTACACAGATTATCCAGGGTCAGCGTGGCAATGATGGTCAGGCTTACTTGTCAGTATGGCCAACCTAGAAAGAAAGGTTGCTCACCAATGTTCTAGCCTATTGGCAATCTTACTCATAAGCATAGCCTACTTAATTAGACAGCAAACTTGCTAATATTCCAGCATATGGCATCCTTACTTGTTAGCATAGTCTTCCTAGTTAGCAAGCTAACTCGCTAACCCTGCAGCAGCTCACAAGGATTAAGTTAAATGTTACTGAGGATTTTTTTTTACTTGCACTAACTAAACTTAGCTTAGTTCTAAAGAAGCACAAAGGAATTTTGTAAAAAAAAAGCACAGGAGCAGCACACTGATGATGTCAGAGGGCTGTGATTGGTTGATCCCAATGTTGTTGCAAGAAAAAAGTAACAGGTTTTTAGAATATTACCAAAAAATTAGGAAACCCCCTGATGTGAATTTAACTGTTTGTGTTTTGCTTTTGTTTTTTCTAATGTCCTTTCTTACTTCATTTTAAGATTTCTAAATATCAATGTATTGCTGTTATAACTATTTAATTTTCATCTTTAATAGAATGTCACTCGTCTTTCATTGCAATTGATGTTTTCAGCTCTCATGTATTGTTGTGTTCTGGTTTTATACCTGGCACTTTTGTACATTGATTTGTTGAATAAAGTATCTAATTAAAAAAAAGTTGTTCCAATATGGGATGTTGATCCAGGAACATGTCCTCTTTGGCTGAATCATGTCGTGTGGTGTCAGAGGTCTTCTTACTTGTCAGGAAAGAGCTCAGCAATGAAGTTTTCCAAAGAGACCACTGGCTGCTTCTCATGAATCACATTAGCTCGACGAAGGCTGTCAATACGTTCCTGAGCCCCCTGCACACACATACAAACACCAACACTCAGCTTGTGCATGACTGAAATTAAAGACCCTTTAGCTGCTTGAAACTAAGCTCCAATCCTGCAGGGTTTGTTTAACACATGGTTTATCTTTTAGAATCCATTGGGCAGGGAAGGATGAAGGGTTAAGTGGACAAATGTAGTGCCTGACCTGTAAGCCAAATTTTCCACTGAACACTTTCGGAATAGTACCTTTACCTGTACCTTTTGACCAAACCAGACTTGGTGATTGTTGGAACAGTGGACTACCCCAACTAACAAGACTAGTCAAGACAGTTTTGTTGAGTTTTATTTTGTTTCTGTTAAGTTTAAATGAAGTGTGTTTTATGAACAGTGTAAATCTAACTGATGAAAACAATAATGACAATTCCTCATCAACAACCTTTTTTCCATGACGAAAATGAGACAATGAGCTAAAAATAGATCTTGATAACAAAAACTAAGACGAAATCTATATTTCATTTTTGTTGACGAGACCAAACATAACGAAAATGAAAGCTGAGAGCAGCCGTGATTGTAATTATCTTCAAATGATGCATGAGCTGAACTGCAGCGCAGCAAGCAGCCACTGGCTGGTGGTCTTCAAAGCTGACCCCTGCAAGACACCATTCAGTCCGGACTGGAGAAGGTTTATGGTTTGATGCTGTTTGACAAGCTGGTAGAAGGCTCAGTTATCTTTGAGTGTAGCTGTGCTGTGTAAGTAAACAGTCTGAACGTAGATCAGTTTTCTGACAGTGATCAAAGTTTAGTTCCAACCACCAACTCTGTGAGAGGACACAAGTTTAAACCTCCAGACTAACATGTTGCAGATTAAGTAAGAATTCAGGCTTTAATTAAGTTATTTTCTGCTTCTTAACAGTCAGATGGATAAGTCAGAGTTCACAATGAACCTGGGTGCAAATCCTAGTTGTCTCAGATTAGTTATTTGTGTTGTCTAGCCTTATAAACGAGAATGATCAGCTCAAAATTAAAATTGACGACCTCAAGAACAGATCCAGGAGGTGCAACATTCAGATAACGGGCATACCAGAAAAAACCGAGGGCACTCAGCCCACTTTGTTCATTGAATCCTGCTTACAAGAAATACTCGGTACTTCGCTTTGCCGTGGATTATAGCAACTTCACCGCTAAAAGACGACGGGAATATGCCCAGGCCATGGAAAGAGCCAGAAATCAAGGCTTCACCCCCATTTTGCTTTATCCGGCAAAACTCAAGCTATCTCGTGGCGCTGAGGCAAGATCTTTATTATTACTCTAGCATTGTGACATTACAATGTGTGGTCTTTCTTGGGCTCTGATGACTTAACTCTGCCTATTTGGTCCTTAAAGAAAGACTCCTAGATTTTGATGTTTTCAGATTATGTTGATGATTATGTAATAAAACAGGTGTTTATTTTAGTATCCAGGTGGTGAAGGGCTGTGCGCACACAATGTTCCAACAGGGGACAGCCCTCCATTCCGAAACCCCTCAACTCCGAAATTGATTTTCAAGTCCGGAGAATACATTTCTTTGCTCTGTGCTTTCAGAAAATAGTTCCACTGTGTTTGCAGGGCATATCAGGCTGTGTGATTATGCACAAAGATTGGTTTAACACATTGGAGGAATTTCATACAATTGCGGACATTTTTCAATTTATTTTCAATTTCAATTCAACATGGTCATTTGCTTAGAGAATTCAGCTGATGCATAATGAGTGTTATATGTCATTTAGATGAAGTATTTGCTTGTTTTGTGGTTAATTATGCACATGATCCGTTTGATCCCATCATGCGGTCCGTTCGTCCCTGCAGACAGGGTTATATTGTTCCTTAAATGGCTTGATTTAGTTATCAAAGTTTCATTTTCTTAACAAAACATTCTAGTTCTCTTATAACTGCATGTTATTATAAAATAACTTCAAATCAAATCCTTAATCATTGATAAGTGTGCGTGCTTCCCTCGCCCATCCCAACAAAAATTCCGCTCGCTCAGAATTTGATTCTTTTTATTGTAAGTTGTATACTTTGGAAATTCCCTTTGACAAAACAAAGTGTTGAATTTATTTACAGAATGTAACACTTCCTACCCTCTCTTTAGAGGAATCTAATGATTTGGGAGCTCCTATTACACTAACTGAATTTAAGGAAGCCATTATGGGGACGAAAAGGGGTAAATCACCAGGATGGGACGGGATCCCGTCGGAACGACAACTACGCATAAAAATGGCCACATTACAAAGGCATAAAGGGCGGTCTCTCTGTACCATATTTAAAATTTTATTTTTGGGCTTTTGTTTTGAGGCCTCTATCTACCTGGCTTAACCCAGAAGTTGAAGTGTCTTGGAAACCTATTGAAGAGAATTTAGCCTCTCCACGTAGATTAGAGGACTTGATTTATTCTAATATCCCTCTTAAACAATCTAAACTCCGCCTTGGTCCAATCATATCTTTTCTACTATCGACATGGCGCACTACAGAAAAGAAATGCAAAACTATTCTCAAATGGCATCTTAACAGCCCAGTATTTAATAATTGTTTTTTAGTTACTCGGGTGGTACCATTTTCATCATCTACTCGGACATGCAAAGGAGTATATAAACTGGCAGATATTTTTAATGAGAAAGGTCTTAGATCATTTAATGATATCCGTGCTAGCTATGACCTACCTGGATCGTAATTTTTTCTGTACCTCCAATTAAGATCATCACTAAAAGCATACGGTGTCCCATGGAATGAGCCACTGAAAACACATCAACTACATTCTATTTTGTTTGTACAAGGTCAAACAAGTGGTCTGGTTTCTAAACTGTATTCATTGTTTTCTGTATCTTCTTATAAACCTCTGTATATTGAACGAGTTTGAACCAAAGACCTGGAACAGGAACATCTGACTGATAATGAGCCACTGGACTGGGACATCTGGAAATGTATAACTGATACCTCCAAAAATCCTACTCATCAGCAGATTCATCTTAATTTTTTTCATCAAACATACAGTCAGGTCCATAATTATTTGGACAATGATACAGTTGTCATCATTTTGGCTCTGTACACCACCACAATGGGTTTTAAATGAAACAATGAATACCTGCTTAAAGTGCAGACTCTCAGCTTTCATTTAAGGCTTTTTTCAAAAATGTAGTATGAACCGTGTAGGAATTACAACCATTTCTTCACACAGTCCCCCAACTTTAAGGGCTCATAAGTATTTGGACAAACTAACATAATCATCAATTAAACAGTCAGTTTTAATACTTGGTTGCAAATCCTTTACAGTCAATGACTGCCTGAAGTGTTGGACACATAGGCATCATCAGATGCTGGGTTTCTTCCCTGGTGATGCTCTGCCAGCCCTTTACTGTAGCTGTCTGCACTTCCTGCTTGTGTTTTGGGTGTTTTGCCCTCAGTTTTGGCTTCAGCAAGAGAAACGCATGCTCAGTTGGATTCAGGTCAGATGATATGACTTGGCCATTGCAGAACATTCCACTTCTTTGCCTTAAAAATGTCTTTGGTTGCTTTTGCAATATGCTTCAGGTCATTGTCCAACTGCACTGTGAAGCATCGTCTAATGAGTTTTGAAGCATTTAGTTGAATCTGAGCAGGTAATGGTGCCCCAAACACTTCAGCTTTCATCCTGCTGCTCTTGTAAGCAAGACAAGACTTCACTAGAATAAATACAGAGGGTTTATCACAAGATGTAAACCATTGGTTAGCCTTGAAAATGGAAGGCCAGATTAGAGTTTGTCAAAAACCATCTAAAAAGCCTGTACAGTTGTGGAACAGCATACTATGGACAGATAAAACAAAGATCAACTACCAGAATGATGGGAAGACAAGAGAAGGAAGAATGGAAGGAACTGCTCATGATCCAAAGCACACCACCTCATCAGTGAAGCATGGTGGAGGTACTGTTATGTCATGGCCATGTATGGCTGCCAGTGGAACTGGTTCTCTTGTATTTATTGATGATGTGACTACTTACAAGAGCAGCAGGATGAAAGCTGAAGTGTTTGGGGCTACATTATCTGCTCAGATTCAACCAAATGCTTCAAAACTCATTGGACGATGCTTCACAGTGCAGTTGGACAATGACCTGAAGCATACTGCAAAAGCAACCAAAGACATTTTTAAGGCAAAGAAGTGGAATGTTCTGCAATGGCCAAGTCATATCATCTGACCTGAATCCAATTGAGCATGCGTTTCTCTTGCTGAAGCCAAAACTGAGGGCAAAACACCCAAAACACAAGCAGGAAGTGCAGACAGCTACAGTAAAGGGCTGGCAGAGCATCACCAGGGAAGAAACCCAGCATCTGATGATGCCTATGTGTCCAACACTTCAGGCAGTCATTGACTGTAAAGGATTTGCAACCAAGTATTAAAACTGACTGTTTAATTGATGATTATGTTAGTTTGTCCAAATACTTATGAGCCCTTAAAGTTGGGGGACTGTGTGAAGAAATGGTTGTAATTCCTTCACGGTTCATACATTTTTGAAAAAAGCCTTAAATGAAAGCTGAGAGTCTGCACTTTAAGCAGGTATTCATTGTTTCATTTAAAACCCATTGTGGTGGTGTACAGAGCCAAAATGATGACAACTGTATCATTGTCCAAATAATTATGGACCTGACTGTATCTCACTCCCAAGATCGCTTTCTGATAAAACTTAATCCACTACCAACATGCACTCTTTGTACAGACGGACTTGATGGCTCTTTTATGCACGTTTTGGTTCTGTAAGGATGTATCTATCTTTTGGAGATCAGTTTGTTCTGTTTTAAGAAAAATAGTGGAATGTGAGGTACCATGCACCCCTACTGTTACGCTCCTTAACGACTTATCCTCACTAAATATTTAACAACATCAAAAAAGAATTTTACTGGCTGGTTTAACAGCTGCAAAAAAATCCTGGCTTTAAGTTGGAAGCCTCCACACTCTCTCATAAAATCCCATTGGTTAAAAATATATGTTGATGTCATCATTATGGAACTTTCAGTGGCTAGGATGCATGGTGCTAAAGAGAGTACTATATTATTGTGGACAAGAGCCTTAAAGGATAACTTCGGTATTTTTCAACCTGGGCTCTATTTCCCCATGTGTATGTGTGCATATGATTCATGGGTACCACTCATTCTAAAATTGGTTCAGTATTGAGGGAGGCGGATGCAGCCCGGAGCCGCAAAACGAGCTAAAACGGTAACGGGGCAAATGCGTCCCGTATAAGTTTGCGCATTAAAAGTGCTTTTTTTCGCCACTGACCGGTTCAGATCGCCAGTGCTATCTCTGTAGATAGCATATGTGGCCCGCCACGAGAAACCCAGCAACAAGTTTTTTTAAAAAATTTGTGATTTTTGTTTTTTTGCAGACTGTGTAAGTTGAAATCATGGAGAAGCCACTCCATGTTTCAAATAACAGTATTGGTGGCCTTAAAACCATAAACTTTGTATTTGAATTTGGGTTGTTTTAGAGGAAATGCTTTGATCCTAGTTGGGGGTACGGCGATAACAACAGTAAATTTGCATACTGGCTTTCTTTGGCTATTCATGTGCTTTTGTTCTTTTTTCGGCCAACCAGCTGAACCACATGGCTACTTATGCAGCCAGCCCCTCCTGCATAAGGAACTGCTACTTCTGAAAGCTGCATGTGTTTTCATCATTGAATGAAGATGGACCAGGAAAAACCCACTGCAGAAGAGCTAAATCGTGGCTGTTACAACGCAAACAGCTCTGCTAGCATTCCGCTGAGCCAGAGTCGAACCAGTCTTCTGCTCCGCGAGGATTTAAACACTTCGTCAGTATTTCTGGACCTTTTATAACGTCTCTGCTCTCCATCATTCTGCTGAGAACCATGGTAACGATACGTGTTTGTGCGTTTCGGTGAACGTTAACTCGTTTGTTGACGATTAGCAAGCTAGCTTAACTGTTAGATTCTGAGGGAAATATCTGCTCGGTGTTCATTAATTAATTAATCTACTACTTTTAAGATTTTATTTGCCATAAAGTCTGTACGTTGGCCGGATGGTGGATGGCTGATCTTGTGTCTTTGACCGGCGGATTTTAAGCTTTTTGGGACACTTGTGTGACTGGTGCCGACACAGCCACACCAAACTACTTTAGCTTTTCGCTAACTTTTAGCAATATACTAGTTTTTTCTCCATTCTACAACCTGATCGACCACAACAATACTGCCCGCCTGAGAGGGAAAGACCCTGTGAACACTTTGGCCACCCCAGAACCCATTTTTACACCTTCTGTGCTGTTTTGTGGAGACCGGACTGACTGCAGCTGTGGACAGCGGACACCCATTCATCTCAACGGGCCCAGTGCTTGGGCCCGCGCTGCTAAGTCCCACTTTCTACTGGATCCAAACCAACCTGACCCAAGACCTACATTTAAAATTCTAACTGTTTAATGTGTGTACTTTGACCGGATGGCCCATTGTGTATACTTGTTCGGCGGATTTGTATTTGTATAACTGTTAACCAAATGATGTCTTATGGAGTAACCTCTGTGTCCATCTTTCATTTGATCAATATGGTTTGATCACTCATGTCAAGTGCTATATGTGCGCCTCAGATATCATACCAAGTTGACTGTGGGACACATGACAGTTCTCAATTCTCACGAAAAAGTGATCAGAGGGCTGGACTACCCTGGTTTTGACTTTATTTCAACATGGTGCTAATGATTATTTAACTATTATTGAATAGATGGATATAGAATCGAATAGAAAGATTTAAAGGGATGCTTCGTTACACATTGAGCACTGGGGGACATTTTACTTAAAGCCTCAGTGTGTAAAAATGGTGAGTAACAGTGACATCAGCGGTCATATTCTTGATTGCAGCGCTCACTTGCGCTCACTCACTCACCCCTCCCGTCGGGTAAGTGACGGTGGCCTCGTAGGACAAAAAGCCTTGAACAGACAGCAGAGTTTTTCAAGTTTTTCAGGAGTATCTTGCGACGAGGTGAATATTTATTTAGGAATCTAAACCATGTTACGATATGTTATAGCTTACCAGTGAGATATAGCAGAAAGCAGGCAACCTCTGCATCCCTTGTGAAATCCTTCTCCTTCAGGAGTTCTTTCCACCTGGAATAAGCAACGCCGATATTCACTTGCGTTTTGTCCCATCCTCGCTCATCTGATCTTTTTCTTTTATTTGGTGTTTCCCTCTTACGGGGCAAAACATATGTGTGGTCCTCCATTTAAAGTGCGACAGAATCGTAAAAGCACAAAGCAGGTTCACGCAGAAGCGCCCTGGATTGATCTTCACCTTAACCGTCTCCAGTGACGGCAAGTTCTAAATATATAAATATAAAATTAAAAATAGAAATAAAAAAATTAAAAATAAATATAT